AAGCCACAAATAATGGCTTTGGCAACATCTAGGTCATGACTACCCGATACTTTACATGTTGTAGCATACATAGTCATACGTCGCATTGTATCTAATATTTGATGATCTGACATTCCATCAATATTCCAGTTAACAATAGTTCTTCCAGAATAAGATACTGTATGCGATATTAGGTCCTCTTCGAATTGGATATCTACAGGAGTAGGCCTAGGGTGGTACATTCTAGTCTGTGCCGTAGGTTTCCATTTAGCTCCATAGGCTATTCTGTCAATTTCCATATTTTCCATACTATTTTCTTTAAAAGCTTGCTCTATATTTAAGAGTTCATCTTCAGTCTTTATAGGTTCTTCTTGGAGAACCAAGGCTTCTGATTCTAATATTATTCCTTTTCCTTTAGTATCTTTATTATCTTTTATTTTTAATTGTGATAATCTACTTATTAATTCTTGCATTAATTCCTTATTATCTTCTCTAAGGATAGAACGGTCTTTGTTTATTTCAGGAGGTGGTTTAAACATTATTGCTTTTTTCTTTTCTTCAATTTGCTTATAAGGTTTGCTAATGATATTTCCTATTCGAGTAACCTGCTTTTCCAAAGAGTGGAGATACAAATTATTATAATTATTTTGTTCCACTAGGTGAGGAACTAATTCATTTTTATGAGTATATTCTTTAGGAGTTATTTTATAGGGTGAAGCTTTAGTTTTTAATTTATTCTTCTTTATCACTAGAGCATTCTCAAGGGGGTGTATGCTATGAATATCTTCTCCTTCTAGTGTATAGAAAGTCTGATACTAACTTTCAAGAGTGTTTATTTCGAAAATCCTATAGTTTTCCTTTTTTTTCTTAAAAATTTATTATATCTTTTATGACAAGTTTCCATTAATTCTTCTGATAATTTTTTTAAATACCAGTTTCTTATCATTTTATTTTGTTCTGACAAGTAATCTTGCTTTATCCACTGCTTATCTATTTTATCTTTTGTTTGCCTGGTTAAGACGTGAAAGTCTAAATCTTCATAGGTGTATTCATTATTTGAGGAACTAGGTTTTGCTGATTTATAGACAAGGATATGGGCATTATCTTCTGTCCTTCTTAATCCTTTTATAATGGGCTCAGTATTTGAAGAAGTTGAATGCCGTGAAGATATTATAGGGTTTTGTGGATTAATAATACTATCATCTAAAATATTAAGCTTTGTTCTACGAGTATTATTAAATTGCAATTCCATTTCTCCATCAGGTGTTCAATTATCTGTTTTGGAGTTTGATTTACAGGTACCCTATATTGTTGATTTTCATTATAAATAGACCAAGTTTTTGGAAGTGTTACCTGGGACCAATCTATTGTTTTAGGGCTTGCAATATTAGATTTTTCATTATTTGTCTGAAATAATATTGTTTGTCCCCTTGTATCAACTTGTAACACGTTTGGGCTAAGAGTATTCATAACCTTACAGCAAATTCGATATACTAAGGCTATATTTTGTGATCCTGGGTTCATATCAAATCCTTGAGTCTTCAAATTAAGGGTAAGTACTTTAAGGATATATGGATCACTTAAAGATACAGAAAATTTTTGGAAATAATTGAAATAGATTGGGCCACTACATAGACTACATTCTACCACACCTAGTAATGAGTCTGAAAATTTATTATGACGGCTATCTCTAAGACATAGTAATATTGATGTATTAAGGCCTAATCTGGTAAGAGGTTTTACAGCAACCTGTATTAATCCTATGTGTAAATATTTATATTCTTTATTTTTATGAGATTGTAATATCTTTAGTGATAGTAATTGGAAGCTTTCTTGCTCACTTGTAACAGATAGACTTTGTTCAACTGTCCTTATTGCATAACTTGTTCTGAATTCGAAAGTTCGTTTTTTGTATATATCAGTTATTGGTACCTTGGGTATGTTCTAGTTTTGGATTTGTTTATCCATATTTTCAATTACTATCTCTTCTTTATTTTTCAACCTTAGATTATTACTAGACTGGGATAAAGTCCTATTGGATAGGTTCCTGATAAAATTTTCCATTAAAGTTATGGATGAGTACCTTTAGTCAACCTCTTATGTCATTTCTACCTCAACGGCTCCTCCTGGCCTAAACGGTAATCTAGACTGGGCGACAACAGTCTCAACACTCGGACTAACTGACTGATGAATAAATTTTATCAAGTTGCTAAACATTAGGGCTTTATTCCTAATCTTTGAAATAATCTATGCTAATTTGGCTCTGATGCCAAGCTGACCCAAGACCTATCTGAAGAGATATTTATATGTATCTGGAAGAGATATTTAGATCTGAAGAAATATTTAGATTACTTTAATGCTCAAAGTATTGATATTCATTTATACCAATCTGCTATAATCGATTCTAGAGAAATATATTTATAATTCTTGAATAATAAAACAAAGCAAATATTATAATAATGGCTGAGAATGGAGAAATATCCAACTAATGTAAGTAATTCCATGAGTTTTTATACTGAATATGAACTTCAATTGCATTTCTACTTATAACAGCATATAGATTCATGCATTAAACAGTAACTTACTGATTACATATGCAAAAGCTGGCAAACAACTTCCATTCATCAGGGTAATAACTTAGAAGGGAACTAAGGTTACAATCACACATTACAATACTCAAAGTGGTTTATAGCATACCACTATTTACATGGACCAAATAATAAAAGAGTAGAGTAAAGTAGAGTACAAAAACAATTACCCAGACAATATTTTCAGATATTCCATATGTCCATTTAATAATCCATGGTATCTGATAGATAGCCATGAAATACAAATGGTAATTTATATTTGGGTTTTGAATTCTACAAATTTTGTTGCGACACTTGAAGACTTTTGAGTAGGATCTGAGATCCCGATCCCCAAGTTAGAAACCAATTTATGAACCAATTTGGGAATGGTTTAGTAATAGGCATTTTTATTTGAACAAACCATGTATGGGAGTTATTAATATTTTGGAGGGAGAATATTTTGTACCAGGCATCTATATACTCCGAATATTTATAATATTTGTTCTGGAACTCTTGTGGCTGTAATTGTTTCCTCTTGAAAGGTCTGAACTCCAATCACTGTAGAGTAATATTTTCCTTGTTTGTAATTTTGAATATGTAACTATTTTTGTATTATGCTGATAATAATGAACCAAAGAAATAAAACCAGTTTCTAATAGCACTGCTTCATACCATTCACGTGTCTTATTTCCATTTGAGGGATTGAGGTTTTTGAGCAGATATAGGTTAGCAACTCTGGCTGGGTCTGTCATTGCATGTTCATCCTCTGTGATAGAATCAATTGAAAAGGTAATTTCTTCAAATTCGGATTTTCCTGAAGCAGACAATTTTTTTGGGATAGGTGACTGAATAAATATTGGAGTCTGGGAACACGTTATTTGACTTGAATATTCTGGATAATTTATTGAAATAGTAGGTAGATAGCTTATTATTGGGGATCCAATTGGAGAAATCTTTGTGATAGCCTTAAAATCTATTTTCATATCTAATTATTAAAATTTAAAGCTTAAAAAATGATATAGATTGAGCTGATCTATGAAAACTTGAAAATCTTGGAAATATAAGATGCACTATTTTCAAAACTTGAACTCCATTTTTTTTCTCATGTCCATGCATCTTGAAATCGATATAATCAATTTGAGACTATGTGAGCATCAAAACAACCTCTTCTTGTGAGATTTTTGAAGCGGGCTCTTATTTGATTGTTTAGAGCCTCTCTCTCTTTTATATATATATATATATAGAGAGAGAGAAAAAGGGGGGGAAAGTGATTTATATCACCATTAGATTTTAATATAATGAAATCACTATTTTAAAAGGGCATCTTTGTGACATTTGTCGTATCCAAATTTTGCAATTGCATTCCCTTCATCCTTGCCATCATTGTCAAAAGAAAAAAAAAAAAGAATTTGCACCCTAGAAGAAGTCAATATGTGTCCCTCTTTAAAAATGATTCTAATCCGTCATTCTAATCCGTCATTCGTTTTGGCTTGAGATCTAGGCCAAATTCAATTTTCCCATCTTTAGAATTGTTCATTTCTTGTCCATATGGGCCATCTACAAAATTTGGGATTAAAAAGAACCTTTTCACCTAGATCTGATCATCCCATCAAATGGACTACCTTGAGTTTATTGGGCAAAATAAAAACAATTTTATAGTGAGTTTACAACTTTTGTTTTTTTGAGATGATTCATCATACTAATTGAGTGCTTAATAGTAGGGTCAAAGGTTTATGAAGGCATGTTTTATTATTATTATTATTATACGACGGTTGCATGAAATCACACTACACACATAAATCGTTCTTGTACGGACGCGTCCTGCTAGCCTTTTACGTCAAAATACTAGAACTTTTAACTATGTACTGGACGTAACACTCACGTCGAACTCCATATAAATTTGCAATAACCCATAGAAATTATAAGGAAAAAAACTTCATTATTTGTAAAATCCCTTAAGAATTGAACTTTCATTAAATTTCTAAATCTAAAACACAAACCAAAGAATAAATAAAGAGTACTTGAGGGTTCAAAACTTTGGATTAAGTTGCCGGAACAATTTTAAAATATTGCTAGTTCATAGACACAAAGCTAGTCTTTTCTTTTCAGTTTAGAGAGAGAGAATCGACAAAACCATTCTCATTCTGAAAAAAAAAATTAACCAAGTTGAGCATGCATGACATTCATGCACCAACTATAGGAGTATACTACTGTATTGTTATGTATATGTTATAAGATCTTTTGGTCTAATTTTGTATTGCCAGGACTTTACTGTTCAACCTTAGGTCCTTTATGTAATGATCCATGTGTCCAAGGGCCATTTTTAAGTATATTACTAATTCCAGTTTCGGAGAACCATAATTCCACTTCTTGTAAACTCATTTCCAGTATGTAATTTCAAGTATACTTTCATAGATTTGTGTAAAACAAGCACCAGCATCTCATCAATTCCCCTTCTTGTAAACTCATTTCCAGTTTGTATTTTCAAGTATGCTATCATATATTTGTTTAAAGCAAGCACCAGCTTGTCATCAATTCCTATGAAATATGAGGAACATGAGGTAGTGAGAATGTTAAGCCTCATTCCTTTTTCTTCATACTTAAAGTTAATGCAATCGCAACTAAGCAATTCTAAAAAGCATAGAAATGCAAGTAACAAACAAAGGGCAATAATCATTCATATTAACAAGGAAACTTTAAAGACTTACTCAACCCCAAACTGCAAAAGATTAATGATAAATTATTTAAGGTAATTAGAGGCTTTTGAAATGGCATCACCCATCTTCACAACTTTAAGTGAGTACAATCAAGCTCCTCCCTGTATGCAACCATTAAACAATGCAAAAAGGATAGTGTCTGCTTGCAAGCCGCACAAAGAACATACGCGTCATTGAATAGAACATATGCGTCATTGAATATACCTGACAAACAATAATATGTATAAGGAATATACAAAACATAGATAAAACGTTTTATGAAGGTATTGAAATTTTTAGCTTTTTCATGACTAACCAAGTTGATCTGTTGCAGATAAAGAGGTTTTTTCTATTGCACTTCTAATTCTTGATGTAATCTCATCATCATATTTCACCCTATGGAAACCAATTTGATCAATATTGAGTTTGATCCGATCTCTTGATGTGTCTAAATGAGTTTTTTCCATCAAGCCAACATTGTTCTCATGCAACAACTCTGATAAACCCATATCCCCTACTTACCTTTTAAGAGGAAGTTTCTGTGTGAACCATAACATAGAGTTATAAGAACAATCCATTGCCATCTCGAGTCAATCCACTTGACAAGAAACGCGATTGCACAAAGTGCAAAAAAACTTAGGTATTCATCTATAAAGCAGTCTAACACAACCAAAAAACAATTGAAGTAAAAAAAAATCATCTATGATGAATATAATACCCATATTGGTCAATGCAGCTTTGATAAGAAATGGGAGTAATCCACACCTTCAAAGCTCCATATCTAACAAGAAGCTATTATAGAGATGCCCATAATTTGTTTATTTCAGCAAAGGAACTACTATATCACAGGTGCCTAGCATAAAACTCAATAAAATCAGCACACAAACTGAAACTGTCAAGTCTTCTTGAGCATTTAATATTTTTATATCACGAGGAACACAAAAAAAACAAACCACCAGTTAATATATAGCTAAGTGCATGTATAACTTGAGGCAGAGGAGCATATACTGAGATAAAGTCCAATAAAGAATAAACTAACAGTCGACCTCATAGTTTTCTAAAATAATTCTTAGTACTTTTATAATTCTCGTCACAATAAGTAGTTAAGACTATAGGCAGCTCTTCTGATGTAATCAAGATGAATTTGATGAACATAGGGCCATTGAAAATTAGAATCTCCACAAAATAGGATGGTGCATTGAAAAAGAAAAGCCACAAGTCATGTGACTCAAATATTATACTAGACATGCCATAGGAAAAGGTCGAGGAAATCAATGAGAAGCACTGAAGTTTCAGGATTTCTTCAGTGTCCAATGGATAGTTTATTCGGTTATCCATATATAATACAGTATGATATGGGAATGAGGACATAGAGGGGTTGAAAGTAACTTTTATTAGTTAGTGTTATGAATAACTAAGTTTACGTTTATTCTTTCCTATATTTAAATCCTTTAGGCCTATTTATCTTTTTCCTCATCTAAGGGGACTTTTGTAATCTAAACCTTTTAATTATTCATATAGATGTATGTAAGTGAGGCATTGAGGTCCAAGGGGACAACACTGTGACCCTACTCTCTTTCTTCCTCGTCAAGTGACACACACTCTCTGTCACTCACACACATATAACCACCCACCCACCCACATATCTCTTTCTAACTTTCTCTCTCTTCCTGAACCTTGATCCCTCCCATACTCTTCCATCTCATACATTAGCTTGCTGTATTTTTTACTTAGCATCACAACAGAAAGCTTAGGGTTATGTGATTGAAATTCTAATGATGTGATTTGATTGTGAGAGGGTCTCACAATGGCAGCATGGTTTGAAACCCCTAGAGCTGGAAAATCACGTAAGAAACGCACTGAGAGTGTTGTTTTCAGTCGACGGGTCCGGGTTGAGTCTTTGATCTTGAGGAGGATAGGGAGTCTTGTCACTCTTTTGTTCCTTCCTTTTCGTCTTGAATAGCTTAACTAAAATACATTCATCAACCTAAACAATAGCTTACTAATATCAAACAATTCAAGAGTTAGGAACAACAAGGTTCATAGAACAATGTAAACAATGTTGGATATTGTAGTCCTATGGGAATTGATTGTAGTCCTCAGTTAGGTTACAGAAACTCTTAGTGGGGTAACACTGTTTTCTATACATAACTCTATTGAAAAGCCCAACCAAATGACAATAATAGTATTACTTTTGCTTTTTTTTATAGACGAGCAATATTATACAAAAACAACAATTACAATATTAAGATGGGTGATGACCCAATGGATGTTTCCAAAAAGGGGTTATAGTCTAGGAAAAAAAGAAACCATTATTTTGCAAAATAACCTTTCTATGATATAAAATAAACAAGTGAAGAAACAAGAAATAGAAATGTCTATGCACATGACAAATTAAATCCTAATAAAATAATTTAATATTACTTTATTTCATGAGAAAATAATAAAATATATCAAATGGTAATACATTATGTACAATATACCATGCACTACTAGATTATAAATAAAAAATAAAGGTTAGATATATTCACCATCATGTTTTTCATAATGATGGAGTTTTGCTTGGCTGGTTGAAATTAAATTCGTCCATCAGCCACTCTACCTTCTTCTCCTACATTTGTCGCTTACCTATGTCATTCATGGAATTGTATTTTTGTTGTCCCTCTCTCCCTTGTCTCTCTCTCTTACACAATCGCTTGCTTTTAAAGAATAGCTTGCCTTTAAAGATGCTTGCCTTAGCACAAGTGGACTCTTTCGACCACCATTGAGAACTCTCTATATTTACTTTTCCAAAACCCACGCAATGGTGATTGTTTTTGTCTATCTTCGTTCTATTTTCCCCATAAATTAAATTCGATACATAAAAAGGAAACCCCAAAAAAGAAAGAAGCGAATCTATCAACAAATACTATATATCCCCAAGTCATTGTTAATAGTGAAATTCCCGAAAAAATAGGATACATGTACCATAAATATATGGTATTGTTATACATCCCAAAAAGTTTCAATTTAGATGAGTAAGATCTTTTTATTACGGAATTGAGTATTGTGGTACTTGTATCACATCAAAAGTATGGCACATGGTATCTCCACTATCCATACCCAGGATGTAGAGTGGGATGTGTCATATATTGCTTTAGCAAACGATGACAGACCAAGAATGATAGAATGGCTCATCTCTTCTATCCATGGTTTAGTGTGGACCATTGAGATGATGTTGTTGATAATGTACACCTATGATGGACGTACTTCCTTTTCTTAACTTTCTTTTTTCTATTCAAGTATAGCTAATTGCCCAAAAACAGTTTCTACACAAAAGAGGGGCAATGCATAAATCATGGGCTATTCAAAATATGAAATCCACTACACAATTACATAACATGAATAATAACGTACGTTCATGAAAGACTCTAAACAACATATATTTGGTCAATCAAGGGAGGTGCACTAAGCACATTGTAATCCATATGAGCTCAAGAAGTATCTAGTCATGGGCTATACATGTGCCAAACTTCATTCATGAAATCTTTTAAATATGTAACGCATGACATGCTTTTTATGAGAAAAAATAAAGCATGACATCCTTTGTACAATACATGGCAAATGATAGCTCTACTCATAGGTTCAGTTGTAGATTTGAGTAGGTAGGCTCTGCCAAACTTTTGATAAAAGAAACTATAACAAAGTTTATGTAATGATCACTAAAATTATCTTCCTACGTGTTCGGTTTAAAAAGATTATTAAAAAAATTTATTTGCTACTTGGTTCTTTATGAAATGTCTGCTGTTATTCCTAAATCTTGTGCATTTTTCCTACTTCCCTATCACTCTCCTCCTCCGTGTGCTTCCTCATGGAGATTGCAATTTCTTTTGTTTTGACACCTACTAGGTGCCTGCATATTTGACCATGAGAGGATTATTCAGTATGGATAATAGAGGTAAAGAGAGTTCTAAAGAAGTTAATTCCCACCATGTGAGATAACAAAAAGGTTGAAGAAGTAAAATGATTGCTAGGAAACTCCCTTTTTTTTCTTCTTCTTTTATCATGTACAGATTTGGTCACCATTACCAAAGTCTCGACATATTTTATGATAAAAGCTTGACGGCTTTTTCTGTGAAATTATGGTTTTATTTTTCTTTATGCAAAATACGGGCTTTGCTTTGAAGTTTTTTAACCATTTTAAAGCTCAAGAAAAAAAAACAAAACTTAAAATCCTAAAATTGCAAATAATTTTCACAGCAAACTCGGCCTTTTGGCTATGGTCAAGTACTCAAAGAAAAAGAACAAAAATGGAAAAGAAAGAAGTCAAAGTCTCAATTAACTAATTATAAAAACCAATATTTTTCCTATACATATGCAGTCTATAAACTATCACAAGAGCCAATCTCTCTCTCTCTCTCTCTCTCTCTCTCACTCTCTCTCTCTTCCCCCATGAATAGGCAAAAGTCCCTCTCAGATCTCCCTCTCTCTCTCTCGAGTGTAAAGAAGGATTTATCATCCTCAATTTACCATCAAACAACAAGAAATATATAAAGAAGGATGATAACAATTTACCACCAAACAACAAGAAATATACAAATAAGGATTTATCATCCTCAATTTACCACCAAACAACAAGAAACATAAAAGCATCAACATGACTAAGTCTAAACAAAAATGACTCAAGAATTTTAGGTGTAAATAATGAAAAATAACAACATTAGTCCTTATCATGCAAAGGAAAAACAAAGCAAATAACATACTAGAGCAGCATAAGCTGATTTCAGATTATGAGAACAATTTGAGTTTTTTAACAACGTGAATAATATGGGCTTGATGGGAAGAAAATTGAGCCAAGAAACAAACACATCATGATAATGCAATAACTCACACAAGAAAGCAAGAAGAAGATGTAGTTTTGATGAACATAAGAGAAATAAACACATTGCAGGTGAAGAACATTGAGATAAAAAAACTACTAATCCACATATATTAAATGCATTAGGTAAAAAACATTATATGAATTTAAGTTCAATCTAATATAATAAAATAGCAAATAAATATAGATAGAGCACAATGATCAATGAAATAGATGAGATCACAAATTAATCCTCTAAAAAAATATAATTTCAATAAAATCAATTTTTTTTCCTAAAACATAAATTTCCAAAGCTATTAAATATCACTACATAATACAATTTCTAAAAAATAAATTAATGATTTCTTTTTAAATATACTTTTTAGTC